TTTTTTATAAAATAAAAAGTTCTATATAAACAAATAGAGCAGTTTAACTATAAGGAATGTTCAGTATATTAACTAATTGAAAAAAGCCTTTAAATTTAATTCTTAAATAATTATGACAATTATCAAAAGATGATTAATTCATTACAGAGAATTTATGTATGAAGGAAAATGGCCTCCTTTCATGTCTTGTTACGAAGGTGCATCACCGACTGTGACCAATTCTTCATGATGGTTCCCCGATTAGCTTTAGGACCAACCAATTCTTCACAAGTTATATTATTTATACATATTTTTTGTAAACATTTTGTAATTTTTTTTTATTTTAATTTCAATTTTTTTTTTCTGCTTTCTCTTTTAATTGTAGACAAAACAACAAAGTTGCATGAATATAACTGTTCGTTCATTTCCATTACTTATTTATTGATGTCTTAATAATCTTTTATTTGCAAATTTTCTAACTTGCTTAATGGTGCAGATGAGAGACTAATTCAAATGACATTATTTTTTTTTCAAAGTCAACCTCCATTGCTAGTCCTAAATGGCCCACGAAATGAGTGACTTTCATTGGAAGGTTTCTTGATTAAAGTTTGATTTTAAGATCTTGAACTAAAGGAATATTTAAGATTAGAAAATGAATTTTTAGATAAGACCTAATTATGGAGGGGATCACCCATCATTAAACTATGAGAAAAACAATGACAAAATAAAATAAATAAACTTTTATGTGTTAAGAGTAAACATGTTACGAAGGAAAAGAGAAAGAAGAAGGTAAGAAGAATCATTTGGTTGATTGAGGTAGAAGAGAAGAAAGAGAAGGTGGGGGGAGGTGGTGGTTTGAGATGAAGTGGAGGAGGCAGATAGGGGAAGAAAGCTGAGGGACATTAGGGACTTAAGAGATTTAGTTTAAAAGACAAATAAGAGAAGAAAGTGTAAGTCATGAAAAAAATAAAAAATTAACTTGGAAATATTATATGAACTTAGACTACAAAATAATACGGTTATTTATAAAATTAGAATATTACTTATATAATTTTACTATTTTTTATTACATTTTTAATATTTAAAATTAAAATTTTAGTTATAAAAATTATATAAACTGAGTAATTTTGAAATAAGTTATATTAGATGTGACATTTTTTTACTTCAAATCTTTAATTTTAATTTGAGATTTTTTTTCTTCCTTTTTCGATAAATCCAAATCAATTTAATGACTAATCTTATTTTTTTTTTAAATTATATCAAATAGTTTCTTTAAGTGAAGAATCTCAAAATCACTATCTACTTTGTGTCATCACCATGATCAACTATAAAAAACTTTCAAAATCCTCATATTTTTTTTCCCTTTTTCCATTGTTAGCAATACCACCTATTAATATGGTGCAAAGTACTTAATGTGTTTCCACCAAAAATTCCCAAAATTTTCAAACTTTTTCTTCCAATTTGGCAAAATTCTTTAGCTATGTTTGGTAGGGCTCCCATTAGCTCTAACAATCTACAAACTCCTCCCACCAATGATATTTTGAAACACAATTTTCTATCCAAATTGAGTTAGAAAATATTACACAAAAAAGAGAAAATTTTACACAAAAGAATAAAAAAAATATTTCTCAATTGATGAGACACATCTCATTAGTTCTCACCTTAATGTGTCAATGAATCTAATTATTGATTTTGGTCCAGAGTAACTCAAAATTACAACAATTTTTATGACTATTTATAGGAGAAAATACTAAATCAAATCAACACTCAACGAAAAAAATTAATATTGATATTTAAAATTTTAAAGATCAATACAAGCAAGCAGTTGATTTGAAGAAAAGTGTTTCCACTGAGAACGAGGTTGTCATGTATATACCATTTGAAAGGAAGATGAAGGATTTAATTTTAATTTAGAACATATGATTGGTTAATGACTACTTCTCAAAAAATTCAATATACACATACACATGATTATATAAATAATTATTCTTTCAAATTATAGATGCTCTCAATAATTACAATCCATATTTTCAAATAAAATATGATGTTAATGGTACAAGAGGTTTATCATCATTTGAAACATACGTTTCAGTCATGCATATGTTGACTTATGGATTACTTGTCAATTACGTGAATGAGTATATTTGAATTGTTGAATGTATTACCATCCAATATTTAGAAGTTTGTGCAAATGGAATGAATGAGATATTTAAAAATGAATACTTAAGAAAACAAAATGATAATGATATTAATTGTCTATTACAAATTGGAGAAGTATATGAGTTTTCAAATATGTTGAGTTTGATTCATTAAATATATTGAGAATGAAAAAAATTGTTTGGTTGCATAACAAAGTCAATACGACAGAGTTGATCTTAAAAAATGCATAATAATATGAATGTGTTAATTAATGACCTTTTACAAGGTGAAATTCCTCTAAAATAATTTACAATTAATGAAACTCATATAATGAAATATTATCTTGCAAATTATATTTGTCTTGTCTTGATTGAACAGACTTTGAAAATCATCTGTCATTAGAGAAAAAAGAAATTTATTTGTAAAATAGCAAGAAAAAAATGAGAAAAAAATATATAAAAAAGTATTTGATGTGTTAAAATATCAATTTGCAATGATATGTGGTTACTAGCAATATAAAGATATTATAAAAAATATCATATTAACATTGCATAATATGATTATTGAATATGATTATTGAATATGAATGAGATACACTAAATGATAATGTTAATTATAGTTATGAAGAAATTTAAAATATTGATTATAAAAAAAATATTACATGTAGGAGACTTTCCTCACAAGTTTTAAAGAGACTCCATAGACATATTTAAAAATGTTTCAATAAAGACAAAATTTATTTTTTGATGTCCATTGTGAATGTTAACTTTTTTTTATTAATATATGTATTTTTTATTAATAATAAAGTTAATTTATCTTTATTAATTAAAATATCAATTATTAATATTAATATTTTTATTTTTATTTACTATTTTATTTTTTATGATTAAAAATTACTTAAAATCTTAAAATAAGATATATTCTCGAAACTTAAAAGAATTGTAACAGGGTTGGATAGATATATCTTAAAATAAAATCTTAAAAAATTACTTAAAAGAATTGTTGGATAGATATTTAGTAAAAAGGGTTTACAGTATATCATTACCCAACAGGGTTAGAAACTTGAAACTGTTAGTGCTGCCGATCTTAGATTCAACTTTCCGATTGTTTCTGATAAAAGAGGTAATAAATAAGGTTAAATACACATTTAATACCGACAAATCTCAAATGCAATATTCAAGATTAAATTCACACTTCAAAAACAACATAGCAAGTATCAAGATTATATTCACATATTTATTACATTATTAAACATTGATGATAACCTCACTTGATACAATACTTTATTACATAAGTTATCGAGACAAAAATTAATTTTAATTGAAGAAAAAAGATATTATCATCTGTAATTGAGCATTATACTTCAATGGCGAAGTATTTTCTTTCCGAAAAAAGATTTAGGTAAAAAGAAAAAGAAATGACGGTCAATTTTGATGCTTACTAAACACGTCTTCATTTGTAATTAAAAGATATATGAATACTAATTTCTAAAACATGCACTCATGTTTGTTATATTGTGTCCAGATTCCTCGTTAATCATCTTACTTGTTTTTATCTCCATATTAAGTATGCAGCAGTTTTCACCATTATTTATTTTTCCCAGATGAGTGCTACTAGATCAGTCTTTAAAATATGGTGGCAATTATAATACAGCACAACATTAGGAAGTTTTTAACTCTCAAAAATCAGCTTAGTGTGAACTAAGATAAGTAGCCCCTTCCAAAGAAACTTACTAGGTGCATGCTGAATAGTAACAAACATATCAGGATGCCACAAAACGTACGCTAAAGACATCTATGTCCCGCAAGATAATGGTGGACTGCAAGTAGAATAAATATTGTAATAAAGTAAATAACTTGAATCAGAAATTAAAAACTACTGTGCGTTTTTTCAAAAAGATTTAGGTAAACAACCAAATCTGAAAGTAAAAACATGGGATACAGACTTGGAGAGATTATCCGGAGCATCTCTCTCATGTTATTACAATCCATAAAATCAAGACAAGTGAAGTAATCTTGACAAATCTAACACAGTGCAAATCCAGTGCAGATGTCACGATTTTGAAGTCACCTGGAACAAATATGAACACCACAAGGTCCTATTATTAGGATCCATACATTTACACGTATGCCTAAGAACATGCCATAATCAGATAAAGCATAAACAATCAGGTATATATAGTAAAAAAATACGTTGTAAAATCAATTACTATAATGAGTTATTGCTCATAAGTCCTCAATTAAAGCTAAAGGATAATCACTTGATATTCGTTAGTGATAGCCAAAGGTGTTAAGTATTGACAATTTGTTCCATCAACTCCAATAATTATTTTGCTGTCCAGGATATCAGGTTCGAGCGAAAAACAAGCACATTCATTGTCACAGTTTAACTACCCACAGAAGTCAACTGAAAATTGAGCCTGATATGACCATTGACCAAGATGCTAACATAGCTCTGATTAGGCCAACAAGTGGTGTCAATAACAAACTGAGGAAAAAGTTTCAATTGCTAAGAACATAGCAAACATGGAAGTTAGGAAACAGACCAGATTTAGAGAATAGTTAGGGATGCAATTCAGTTACCAATTCTATTAGACTATGCAATAGGCCACTGACAGAATTCTACTTGGATATGACGGGTAATAAATAGGATGAAGACTTGAGAGGAGTTATCAGGATAAATAGTGAATTTTCATATCTTTCATTCCACTCTCTCTATCGTTTTTCTTAGTCATCTGAACCCAAAATCAATTGGTGCATTCATTAAGATCTCATGGCTTCTACACGTTGAATGTCAGTGGATGATCCATTGGACAAGTAATAGCCACCCATCAGAAACTGCAGAAGGGATTGTTGCAAGTTTTATCAGATCTAGGATTGAGAATGACGGGACGTAAGGTATCAGCTTGCGCTCCACAATTCATGCCAATGCAGAACAACAACAAAAATCTAGGTGCTTCTTCTGCTTTTCCAGTGAAGGATGTTAATGGCAGATTATCGGTCAGGAATGCCGACACAATGTTTGATTAACATAAATGGGTTAAACACTAGAAAGTTGCCCCTGTTTTACTTCATCGTGAAGGCTTTGGTGTGGGTTCAAGATGGCAAAACAAGAACACAAAGAATGCGTATTGGACAGGAGGGCTCTTACAATCTCTACAAGTGCGCTGGGTCCTATTGAGTAAGAAAGTATCAAAGAAAATGGGTAAAAGTTATTTCAAACAGATTAATATTGGAGAATCAAGAAGAATATGAGAATCTTGGTAGATGGCTTAACAGAAGCTTTTCTTCTGAGTAGTTTTATCTATGGATTGGACTTCGATTCAGTATGAAGTTAACTCCTTTCAACCTACTACTTAAACCAAAGCCTTGTCTTTAGCCAAATTTCATGAAGTTGAATTACAATAAATTAGCAATCCAACCAAGCTAATTATTCCCCATATCCACCTATTATACTCACTCCACCTGATTTAACTATTACTAAACCTGTGACATAATCAGAGACTATTTATCCTCTACGCACAGTGGCAAATCTAGGATTCTATCTTAGTGGGAGCAATTTATCTTACAAAAAATTAATAAGAACTAACTAATCAAATAATTTATTATTGTTGTAAACACAAAACTATGGAACAATAAGTCTAAATATAAAAATAGAGAGGCAAGAATTAAAAATTTAACATATTTATTTAAAACCTTTATCGAAGTAAGAACATCTCCAATGTACTTAAGAAGGATCTTAAATTTAAGACTGAGGTATTAAGAAACTCCTATTTGAACATGATGATCTAACATAGTGGGGATTTTAACAATAAAAAATAATATTTAAAGTTATTTTTCAGTCTTAACAATAAAATACAAAATTAACTTTTTAAGTAGTAAAAAATTGAATTGCAAATAAAAAAATTATAAAAGTCTAGATTTTAATAAGGCCACATCATTGAAGCAAAATTAAACAAAAATATATATATAAAGTGAGTTGCTTAAAAATAATTTAATAATATATTGGAATCCATTTAAAGTAGAATAACACCCCTTGTGAGGTTCCTGTAAGATCTTTGTATTAATGCACTAAGGGTGTGTATTTGCACATCCCTCAAGTATATGCATGTCATCCGTTCCATTCCAAATCCATTAAAAAGGAAGGGCAAAATATAGTTTTTTTTAATCCTTTTAAAGTCAGCCAGGTCATTGAACCAATCAAGATACAGGTTCAACGTTCAATGGTTAGTCAAATCAAACTCAAATCAGTATTAATAAAATTATTATAATAATTAAATAATATATAGAGTAATATTAAAAATATAATAACATAATTCTATGATGATAAACTAAATTAAAACATAAATTTATAGGTTTTTAGCATTTCAAGTGATATAAAAATTAAAATAAAGTATATTATCATACTTAAATTAAAATTTCAATAATATTTATGAATATTAATCAATAACAAGAAGTTGAAATGTAGAATAAAATGAAAATAACAAATATTTTAGGTTAATTTTTATCTTTTAAGAAAAAACTAAAATGGTGTATTATTAAGTTTTTTAATTAAAACAGTTCAGGCTGGTTTTCCGGTTCTTTAACCAGTTTTTAAGGTTGGTTGGTTTTGCAGTGTATTCAAACAGGACACCTAGCTGGTCCAATGGTTTTTTAATACTCATATAGGTCCTCCATTCCATTCCTTTTCGAAGCTCCAAATCCTAAAATCCCAGTTTGAATCCAAAAATCAAGTCCAAATACAAATAAAAAAATACAAATTCATAAAATCCAAACACAGACGCAAATTTTATTTATCTCAAAATCAATATCTGACTAATTACATAGGTCGGCCATTTTCTACATAGAGCACTCACATTTCCAACACACCTAGAAATTGGGCCAGGCTCAGATTCAAGGAAGGCGTGAATAGGCCTTGTTTTTTACTATTTACTGTTACGAAAAATATACTACTGGTCATAAATGTTGAGCGTTAGTGCATCTTCTTTAAGTTCTTGCTTCATTTGCAGTGATTTTGAGAGCGAACTTTTTGCTCGCCAGGAGTTGGAGAAAATTGGGCCAGATTTGGCACCAATATTGTAGATAACGTTGTGCATCAAAGAAGCTACATGGGAAGATGGGATCGAGGATAGCATTGGAACTACTTATCCTGATCTCAACATTGAACAAGGATGAAGTGGAAGGGGGGAATAGTTATATGCGCATCGACCAAGACCAAGATGCTAGCATAACTGATCAGGTCAATAGTCATGGTAAACAACAAACTGAGGAAAAAGTTCCAATTCTAAGAGCACATCAAGGCTGGAAGTTAAGAAACCAACTACATTTATACAGTAGTAAGGGATGTAATTGTCGGTTACCAATTATATTGACTTAGGATGTACAATGAAGACAGAACTTTGTTAGGACATTAAACAGTACAAATTCGATTAATAGAGAGGAAAGAAATTATTAGAATAAATCAGTGAATTCCATATTTCTCATCTGTCTTCATTAACCACATTGAATTGCTACCACGGTTCATAACGAGGTATCACTTATACGTACAGCAAAACATCAAAGTGGAATCGTCATTTTCCGATAGACAAAATTCAGAAACTACACAAGGCGAATATACAACCTTAATCGCTTCAATTTTCAACAATCGGAAACATCACAAACACACTCGAAGCAAATATCAAACAACAAAAACACAAACGACGACTCCTCGCACATAGGGTTACCTTTTGTGCGCCTGAACGAATTTCGAATTTTTAGCGTCTTCCTCTGCCAAAGAAACGAGATAGTGAATTTCTGAATTACGATTCAATTAAAGAGGAACATACAGTCAAATTCATCGGAAAGAGAGAGAGAGAGAGAGTGATGGAAGAGGTGATTTACCGGTAAAGCCGAGGGATAACTTGGTGATTACGGCTCCGGTGACTGCAAATCCAACTAGGAAAGGCCAGTTCCTTTTCCATTCGCGCTTGAAGAAAACAGGCCATGGATCGAACTTGCGCATTTTCTCTCTTTTTTATCACCGCTGCTGCCAATGCAATGCTATTTCTCAAGCTTGCTTCTGCTGCTGCCAATGCAATGCTATTTCTCAAGCTTGCTTCTGCTGCTGTGTTATTGTTATAGCTTCTCCCAAATCGGAGATCTAAAGGGGTTTCCAGGTTATCTTTTGTGAATCCACGTGGATCCAATCCAAATTTATCTGGGCTCAAAGAAAGGTCCCGGAGAGCGAAGCATTTTCGTTGGGCTGCTCTGGGTTTTGAGGCCCAAATAAATGACACTTCTATTCATTTTTCACTATGGTGATCTTGTTTTAACAAAGGAAAAACTTACACACGATTACATGCATATGTACGATCTCTAATTAAATTTAAAGCTTTATTTTAAAAATATGTAATGCATTTAAGAAAATGTAAATTTACAAAGTGAAAATTCAAATTTGATTGCAAACCACACCTATGTTACAGTTTTAACTAACATATTTAATTGGAAAAAATACCTTTAATTAATATTAATCATATTTTGAAATCTACTTAAGTATTTTATCATAGAAAAACCCTTCTTATATTTTAATTTTATTAGCTTTCTAATCAAGAATACCTTTTTACACTAGATAATTTATTTATTTTTCCATAAATTATAAGCCAAAATCTCAATTTACACAATGATAATAAACAAGTTAATATATCTATTCTCAATTATATTAATACTCTTCTTATTTAATTTCTTTCAATCTCCCTCAAATCTATCTTTTCGTTTAAAGTCTCATTATGATTATATAAGATTTTGCAAAATAATGAATATTTTATTTAGGATTTTCATATTGAGTAATTGGAATATTCTTATTCATGATCACAACAACGTCATTATCTCTTATATTCAAATTATAATCAAGAACTCTAACTAGAACTCTAATACCCAATTGTTGAAGAAGTAAACAAAAATACAGCAAGTAAGTAAAAGAAAAACTCATCTCTTTTTCCTTGTATAAATGATAGTAGGTTTTGAAAAATATCAAACATAAAAAAATAATAATTAAAAATCAAAGTTTTAAATAGGAAAAACTATCAATGTGAAGAAAAAAATTCATGATACATATTCTATGATAACTCTAATAAGTATATAATAAGATAATAAATAACCAAAATACAAAATAATTGGTATAAAAGAATCTCTTCTGCAAGTTAACTCTTTTTCACGAATCTATGTATAGATACTATGATTAGTATATTTTTTTTTGTGTGTTTTTTTTTTCTCACCAAAGGATGGTTTCTCTAATTTTTTTTATTTTTTTATTCTAAAGGATTCAAATACAAATAAAGATACATGTTGTTATAATGAACTAGTAACCCATAAAGAAAAATACTTTTTTTTTTCACCTTTAGGTTAGGCAACATTGGTAATCTATCTCACAAAATACTATTATTTCTTACCACAAGTTAGTTATATTAGTATTATTAGAGTTAATAATCATACTTAAAGTTTTGTTTAGTTTAATGTTCAAGTTTAACTCTATGACTATTTATTCTTAAAAATGTCTTATTAGATTAAGAAAAGTGAGTATTTATAGACTATTTTAAGTATTGACTCTCATAGATATTTTTAGCTTCCAATCACAAATCAAAGAAAATGAGTGGTTATAAAATATTGGAAATTCATGTTAATTATATTATAATATATAATTAAAATATAAATCTTATATTTCAGATTGATTTTATAAAATTAAATTATAATGTATCAATTTCTAATATAGTATTGAAAACTATATTAATAAGATTTATTACATTATTTTTTAATTTGTACTACTTTTAATATATTAAAAATGGTTAAAACAAAATTTAGTCCGTTTACTTAAAAACGATTTACATTGAAAACACAATCAATATGCGAGTCAATTTTAATTAAAAATATTCTTAATAAAAACTTAAATAATATTTTAGATAAACATTTAATAAATTATTTAATGATTTATATCAGACATTATTTGAATTATAAATTGATTATTTCAATAATATATATATATATATATATATATATATATATATATATATTTACTCATTTTCATAAAAAATAATTATTATGAAAAACTCGAGTTCTGGTTTAAAGAATTTTGTATCTATCACGTCTGAAATACTTATATATGTTTAAAATATCTTATATTATTGTTGCCAATATATATATTAATATATAAAAGATAAAATTTAGCACCTCTGATACATCCTATTTTATTTATTACAACATAAATATAAATAACAATAGTAGCAAATTTCTTAAAATAATTATTATAATTATACATATTATTTATCTTAAAAATAGTAACTGAGAAGTTATATAGTAAGAGATTTATAAAAAAAAATGATAACTTTCATCTACACTTAATCAATCATCCATTTAACAACTAATTAAAATGATATAACAGTAACAAAAGTTTAAATTTTTATATATATTATTACTATATTATTAAATAGAGTATGGGTTATGAGAAGGGTTTGTGTGGACTCGGTTTCATGGATCCGGTCACATCACATCGATACAGATAAGAATCTTTTTATGGGATCGAAGGTTTAAGGGGAATAAGAATCTTGGATTACCATTCACGTACCGTGGGTAATATATCTTAAGGAAAACTGATAATTAAATTATGATTTCCATTCTAATGATCAAATATATATATAATTCCATATTATAAACATGTTATAAACTAAATGCGAAAGCGTATCTGAATTAGTCATAATGATGATATCTTTTTTAGAGCACTTTTGATTTGATCTTATGGTCTTCCATCCGAAGAGCACTTGTATTTCCCTCTTGATTTTTTCTCTTGATGGGGATAGAAAGAAAAGAATGGGACTGTAACTACGTTCTGTCTACGTGCTCCCAGAAGGGGACCATGACCCCTTAAAATAACCAAAATTAGGTTAATTACTTAAGTTTTAGTATTTCCAATTTGGCCCCTCATCAAATTAGAAATTGCTCTATGGTCTCTACACAAGTTTATTTTCATGACATATGCCTTTAGCCAAACCTTTTTAATTTAGTCAGATCACTTTATTATTTGGCTTAATAAATAATGACCCTAACACATTTAAATATGTATCATATATATACATGACCCAAATTTTGTCAACAATCTCCCACTGGTCACAAATATATATGTCCTTACAACCTCACAAATGTGTTAGACTTTATGAGCTCAAAATTGTCATTATATTCCTTTAGCATATTCCAAAAGTCTTGTCCATTAATCATATCAGGATATAGAACCAACTTTTCATTGCATCATCGCAACTAAAACCAACAATGATTACTCATCCTGACATAACCAAATGACATGGATTCATCATGAAATGTGTAGCATGAAAAATTACAGGAAGGTGATCTGTACACGTCTATTTTCAACTGGTCCAAACTTTAACTTATCGAGATCGATATAATATCCTTAATGTACAAAGTGTAATGAATGAACAAAAAACCGCATATCTATAGATAACCAAATATGTCCAAAAAATCAATGTATACATATATAAAATTAAACATAGAACATAAAATATATGAAAATGACTAACTACCACTAAACCACAAATTCCTCAAACTGTAAAACACCCATGTGAGCAACATGCTCATGAAAGACCTTGGGCGGAAGTCCTTTAGTTAGAGGATCTACTATCATGGAGTTTGTCCATAAATGTTATATGGAAATCTGTTCACTCTGTACTCTTTCCTTAACAACTAGGAACTTAATGTCGATGTGTTTTGACTTAGTCGAACTTCTGTTGTTGTTGGAATACAATACAGCTGATTTGTTGTCACAATATAACTTAAGTGATCTTTCAATGCCTTTCACAATTTGTAGCCCTGTGACAAAATTTCTCAGCCATATTCCATGATTCGACGCCTCATAGCATGCTACAAATTCTGCTTCCATAGTGGATGAAGCTGTAAGGGTTTGCTTGACACTGCGGCAAGAAACCGCACCACCTGCTAACATGAAAATGTAACCTGAAGTGGATTTCAAACTATCTTGACATCCTGCAAAGTCCGAGTCAGAAAACCCAGTGATCTCCAACTGGTCTGACCTCCTGTATGTGAGCATGTAATATTTTGTTCTCTTTAAATATCTCATGACCCTTTTTGCTGCTTTCCAATGGTCCATTTCTGGATTGCTTAAATATCTGTCTAGAACCCCAACTATGTATGCTATGTCTGGACGCGTACATACTTGGGCATACATCAAACTCCCTACAGCTGATGCATAGGGAATCTTTTGCATTTTCTCAATTTCTAAATTTCCCTTTGGGCACTGATTGAGACTAAACTTGTCTCCCTTAGCAACTGGAGTATCCCCAAATTTACATTCATGCATGTCAAACCTTTTAAGAATTGTTTCGATATAGCTCCTTTGTGATAATCCCAAAATACCCCGACATCGATCTCGGTGTATCTGAATTCCTAATACAAAGACGCATCACCAAGATCTTTCATTTCGAAATTCTTTGATAAAAATTTCTTGGTTTCGTGCAATATGTCCATATCATTAGTGGCAAGTAGAATGTCATCAACATACAAGATCAGGAAAATATACTTACTCCCCTTAAACTTGTGATATACACAATCATCAACAATATTCATCTCGAAGCCAAATGAGAGAATTACTTGATGAAATTTATAGTACCATTGACGAGATGCTTGTTTTAGTCCATAAATGGATTTTGTCAGTTTGCAAACCATACTCTTTGAATCTCCCTGCACAAAATTTTCTGGTTGCACCATATAAATCGTCTCATCAATGTTGTCATTAAGAAACACCGTCTTGACATCCATTTGATGAAGCTCCAAATCATAATGTGCTACAAGAGCCATGATTGTCCTAAAAGAGTCTTTCGATGAAACTGGAGAGAAAGTCTCTTTAAAATCAATCCCTTCCTTTTGGGTATAGCCCTTAGCTACCAGACGGGCCTTATACATTTCCACATTACCTTTAGAATCCCGTTTGGTCTTAAATATCCA